ATACCGTAATAAACAACAATTTGTACACAATAATTAAAAGCATTCCGTAATAAACACTAATTTGTACACAATAATTAAAAGCATACCGTAATAAACAACAATTTGTACACAATAATTAAAAGCATTCCGTAATAAACACTAATTTGTACACAATAATTAAAAGCCATACCGTAATAAACACTAATTTGTACATAATAATTAAAAGCATACCATAATAAACACTAGTTTGTACACGATAATTAAAGGCATACCATGATAAACACTGATTTGTACACAATAATTAAAAGCATACCGTAATAAACACTAATTAGTACACAATAATTAAAAGCATACCGTAATAAACACTAATTTGTACACAATAATTAAAAGCATACCGTAATAAACACTAATTTGTACACAATAATTAAAAGCATACCGTAATAAACACTAATTTGTACACAATAAGTAAAAGCATACCATAATAAACACTAATTTTTACACAATAATTAAAAGCATAACGTAATAAACACTAATTTGTACACAATAATTAAAAGCATACCGTAATAAACATTAATTTGTACACAAGTTTCTTGGGTGTTTTACACTTTATTACTATCATAATTCTTAACAGTGAGCAATTAATTGAATTGGCTAACTGGTTAATCACTTGGCTCATTAACCAAATACATACAAGGTCAGTTTAACTGATTGATCCTGTATCATAGAAGTGTTGACTGTAATTCCAAACTTACAACATGTATCTATACAAATTTTGGCAAGCTATCAAATAATATTAGTAAGTCTGTTGTACACATAAAATCAGATGTGTTATTTGTACTCAAGAAATGTCTGTGAATTGATGATATTGGTCTGACACAGACTCTGACAAGTTGGTGTGTGAGGTGATGTTCAAGTGATGAATAAAAATACTTTTGTCCATCTCACAGTTTGGATAACCTCTGGAACATTTGAAATGCATATCTATGTTTTTTTAGTATTCTTGTATGTTGTAATTGGTACTTACTCACCTCTACCATAAACTGTCATTAAAAAGTAATGTCGAGTGAAATGCATAATTTATAGCTCTGACATCAAATACATAACACCATATTGAAGGTCACTCTATAAAAGGTCGTGGCATATGCACTTTGACCACATCACCCATGCACAAAGAGTTAATTAACTCAACCATTACATTCAACCAACAGATTATTCTCATAAGACTTGGACAGTTGGAATGATTGTTTGTTTGTTTGGTTTTAAATTTTGCGCAAAGCTACACGAGGGCTATCTGCGCTAGCCGTCCATAATTTAGCAGTGTAAGACTAGAGGGAAGGCAGCTAGTCATCACCACCCACTGCCAACTCTTGGGCTACTCTTTTATCAACGAATAGTGGGATTGACCATCACATTATAACGCCCCCACGGCTGAAAGGGTAAGCATGTCTGGTGTGACGAGGATTCGAACCCGCAACCCTCAGATTGCAAGTCGAGCACCCTAACCACCTGGGCAGTTGAAATTATCAAACACAGTAATAACCAGAAACAATAATTTCTATTAATGGATCAAAAATATAAACTAATCAGTTTAATGATAACTTTAATTAATCCTCCAGCTCTAAGTCTAATTAAAGAAATATTTCACAAAGGGTATATTTAAGTCCTCTATTTTTCTTTTTTTAACTAACAATAACTTAAATCACTCTCTATACAAATCAAAGACAAACTTACAGACAGATCCTCTTCCGAGAATTCTCGGGTCCATATTTCAGCCTGTCTTTCTTCATCTGTTTTTTCAACAACACTGCTCCCTTCTACAGAAAGTTCTCCATCTCCAATCTTCCTAATGAACTTTAGAAACTAAAATGTAATAATCTCACAGTTAGTTTTGGTTTAAGAACTCCTTGTAATATTCTCCAATTATTATTTCTTTAACAGTTTACTGTTTAAGTTTAACAGCTGATAACTTCCTACCCAAAGAATAGTATGTAATAAAATCATGAAAATTGAAATCAAGTCAGTTCTTAAGTTATTTCCTATTTGAAGACAAAATAGATACTTTGTACACATGGCCCTAAAATGGATACAGAAAGTCATTTTGCTATCAATGGTTTATTGATGACTACAAATTTAAAATCACATCAGTACATTACATAATTCTTATAAGGGTCTACTTTGGTTCCATGGCTAGAACACAAATCTTCAATCAATAAACATTGAGGCCATCTCTTATTAACTCTCTACCTGAGGCTTTGATCAATTTGGCAGAGTTCATGACCCAAAATTGATCTCTATAATTTCCATACTATAACTACTAATATGTTTTGCATATTTTCACGAAATTTCACAAACTTTCGGTAAACATTACATGTCTTTTGCAGACAAAAAAAATAAGAATTTTTAATAATGTATTTTTACTAAAAATTTCTCTGTGAATATAAGGAGTCAAAGTGTTGATTTTTATGCTAAGATTAAAAATACTTTTCTTCGTCTAAAACTTGTCCAATTTCATTTCTATAATCTCTAAAACCTCCTAAATAAATTTTGTATGTTTTTTTTCCAGTAAAACATTATATTTTATCTGTCATTTTCTCTACCCTAACTCTATACAGGATCAGTCAATTTGACCAACCTCGTAACCACCATCAAAAAAATATTAAAATTACTCTTTTTTTTTTCTTTCTACAATGACTTCAGATTTCAACAGGAAACCCTAAATAGCTTAAAGCTCATAATGGTATCCATCTGTTTCTACTTGAATATTATTGTTTTATTACCTTTTGAACCATGTCTAACTAATAATCCCATCACACAAGTTGTAAATCACTCAGTGAATTTGTTGCTTACCTTACCCTATTGAATTTCATAACACAGAAGCTAGTCAAGAGTGTACCTCATGAAAAACTATTATTTTTATTACCTAATTTAACCATATAAATTTTGATTACTTTTATAATAATAAAGAATACACATGAAGAACACAAAATATAGTACTTACCTGTCTTTTTTTTTTTTTTTTGCTGTCAACTGTTGATTAAACCTTTTTTATATCAATGGTACTACTGTTACTACACTAAATAATTTTTTATTTAATTAAATAATGCACCTAAGAATTTAGAATAACAACATGTAAAAACTAGACAATATCCTATAACTATCAATTTTTCTGGCTTCCTAACTATGCAATAAGAGCCTTTAAAAATTCAACTAAGTTCGTTGATGTATTTTCCATGGAAATAAAGTTTGAACTGGCAGCAAGATAGACAATTCTCAATGTATTATAATACGTCATTTGATAGATTAAAATTTGGGCTTTCTATTGATTATAAGTAATACAGTATTAAACATGAGAGAAAGCTATTAGCAATTTGTGAAAGACAGGATGTGACAAATGGGTGTGGCAAGTGGATCTGATCTTCTAGTTTATGGTTCTGTAAACAAATAAGACTGAAGGCTACAAAAATTATGCTTTGCCCAAGTAATAACTATGTTATAATGAGTAATTTATATTAGATTCCATACTTCTCAGAGAGATGGTAAATAAATTAGAGAAGAGGGAAGACCTAGAGAGCAAAAGTGAAAATTCTCACACTAGGAGTTTTTTGAAGATTTTAAAAAATATTTCCTTATAACATTAAGAACTTAACACTTATATAGTATTAAAATTTGATTTATTAACTATGTTTTTGATGCCAAGTTTATATGTATACCATGATAATAAAACAGTTTAACCTTTTCACAATGGGAGCCCATTTAAATACTTTTCTGCGCAAGTCACTGTGTTACATTCAAAAGTTATTTAAACACCTTTAATATCAAGGTATGTGAATGAATTTAATATTATAATGTGAAGTTTTATTTTATCCAAGTTTTAAGTCCTTTATTACAAAATAAACCTTTAAAAACTATTTAAAACTTCAGATGTGTTGTCACGTGACCAATGAGCTATTAAAAATCTCTACTTTGGTTCTCTGTATTTTCAATAATACAATGGTAGTTGACTAGAGGTACGTCTAAGCCACTAATATCCTTACATAACCTTTTGACTCGTTCCTTTTAAAGTACTCTGAATGAAGACAGTTAAAACAAGTAATAAATATTTTTAACTCCTGACAGCTGCCATGCCCACCTTCAACAGAATTGTTTGAGCTTTATCCATTCGATGTAGACATTCTTACACATGTATATAACAATTAGAAAGAACTCATTTTACAGTATAAACAGTTATTTGGAAATTGGCACCAAGTCTTCGTCGCAGAGTACATGAAATTGACTGCTTGATCGACTATAGCACTTATGGTTGTTTATTACCTAAATATGTTATAGTTAGAGAAACAGGTTAAAATGTATTTAGGTCTTACTATTATATTTTAGTTAATTATGTGTCAGTTATGTTTTAAAATACATAATTAAAAGGTTTAAACATTTTTTAAATATACATCATACTTCGCATCCATTCTCAAGGCTTAAAATATTAAACATTGAACGAAAACTTTGCTAAAGGGTTGCACATGTCTCCAAAAGAAACTGTAATATGCCTCGAGGGCACCGTTGACTTGTGTCGAGATGAATAAATTGCAAAAGACAAGAATGTTTGTTTGTTTGTAATTATGCACAAAGCTACACAATGGGCTATCTATGCTTTGCCCACCACGGGTATCGAAACCCGGATTCTAGCGTTGTAAGTCCGCCGACATACCACTGTGCTACAGGGGGGCTAAAACAAGACAAGAAAGGAAAATTAAAACATTAAAATTAACTATATGTGATAAGTAAAAAAAGAGGTGAAATTACAGATTTAACAAAAGGAAATTCTTTTACATATATTCTACTAAAAATGAAAAATGTATTTTTTTTTCTATTTCCTAATTTTAATTATTTCATCATATTGTACATTGTTGATAACAGCTAGAGTTAGTGATATGGTAGAGAAAATGAAATATAAAATACCAAAATTTACCTTAAAAAACTTGATATCCTTTTAGGAGTATCTAGAGATTACGCAAATGAAATATGAATAAGAAAAGTATTGTTATACTTAATATGAAAAATCACGTTGCATTCGATTTGTTAATTGAATGCGAGTAACTACAATAAAAAATAACGTATTTTTAGTAAAAACACTTAATTACAAAACTGTCATTATTTTTGTGTAAGATACTTATGATATTTAACAAAATATTAGCAATTTTGGAGAGGATACATTAGGAAATCTCAGAGTTGTTGTATACGTGAAATTCGCGATTCGATTTCCGCAAATTGCATTAGCCCGCCGCAAAAGGATTGATTACATTTTGTAATGTAACTCTCTAAAAAAAAAAAGTCATGACATGTGAGCTTTGAAAAAAATATATATTTTGATGTATTTTTTAAGAGTAACAATTTATCATAATTGTAGATTATATTTTAATTCCAATTTATTCTTTAAATATGTTACGCAATTAACTCATTATTCTGTTAGATGAAAGTAGGCATCCCAATCTAACAAGGACATGGCTTTCAAAATGCTGGAAAGATAAAATGTCTCGTATATTAAGATTATATTTTAATTCCAATTTATTCTTTAAATATGTTACGCAATTAACTCATTATTCTGTTAGATGAAAGTAGGCATCCCAATCTAACAAGGACATGGCTTTCAAAATGCTGGAAAGATAAAATGTCTCGTATATTAAGACCGATGGCAGCGAAAAAGTAGAATATTTTACTAAACATTTGACCAACAAAATTATGAAACACATAACCGAAAAAGCACATAAAGCACAATAGTAATTATTAGTAAACAGTTTAGCTACATTAGTTGAGCTGATTTAACACAGATTTTCAATCAGATACTAGGAAGCATGGAAATAGTAATAACTGGCAGAGTTGGTGACGAACACAAAAGAACAAAAGAAAGGAGCATGCCACGTTTGTTATCTTTGTGATCCGTTACCCTCACACACTGTACCTACGATGCATATTAACTACAATAGAAAGCGTAAAAGTTACCAGTTGTCAAATCAGTAATAAAAAAAAGGCATGGCCATATCAGGGCCGATTTTCATGTCACCGTGTCTTAAGAATCCAAATACATCATTAAAACAAGTGAGTACTTTTAATATACAATACTACAATGAATTCATATTAAGTTGAAGATGAAACAACATTTAAAATTATACAATGTACATCTTGAATGAAGGCACCAAGATTATTTTAACATTTAAAGTTTCTCCTTACTGTTATTGAAATATATTTATTTGTATGACCTCAACTGTTTTTGACCAAATTTCGAGGTAGATAAATGGCAAATGATGAGAACTGTGATAACTATTTTATCACTTACCTAGATATGATACTAGCTTGGTGCTAAAATTAAAAATGGTACATAAAATTTCCGATTTTCTTGCTTAAGAAACATTTTCGTAAAACAACGTGATACTAATAAAACTAAATACAACAAACATTAGTTGTAGCCCTGAAAAATGTTTTTAATATCAGCCTGCCTAAAAAAAAATGCTTTAAAATAGGTTTGATTTGTTTTGAATTTATCGCAAAGCCACACGAGAGCTATCTGCACTAGCCACTCTTAATTTAGCTGTGTTTGTTTTTTTTAATTTTTCACAAAGCTACACGAGGGCTATCTGCGCTAGCCATCCCTAATTTAGCAGTGTAAGACTAGAGGGAAGGCAGCTAGTCATCACCACCCACCGTCAACTCTTGGCCTACTTTTTTACCAACGACTAGTGGGATTGACCGTCACATTATAAAGCCTCACGGCTGAAAGGGGCGAGCATGTTTGGTGTGACGGAGATTTGAACCAGCGACCCTAAGATTGCGAGTCGAGTGCCGTAACCACTTGGCCATGCCGGGCCTAAATAATTTAGCTGTGAAAGACTAGAGGGAAAGTAGCTAGTCATCATCATCCACTACCAACTGTTGAGCTACTCTTTTATCAACAAACAGTGGGATTGATCGTCACATTATAACATCTCCATGGCTGAAAGGGTGAGCATGTTTGTTGGATGGAGATTCAAACCCGCGACATTCAGATCGAGAGTTAAGCCACGCCATGCACCTTAAAGTAGGAAAATAAAGTTTCTATACAACTTACTCTATTCTTTTACAATCAAACATCATATAATTTCATACGGTTATTTTTTTCAACATCACAAATGCTGACTTGATTATATTTATTAGAATGTACTTTCATCCCTCAAAAACTGTAAAAAACATTTCAAGACAAAACAGCTAAACATATCATCCACCTCAGATTCAGAAAACTTGGGATCATCAATGGTTCCAAGCAGTTCATTGGCCACTTGTGCTAATTCTGTATCTTCCTGGGTTTGATATTCATCAGTCCATTGGTTTGCAACAAGGTCAAGGTTGTTTTCTCTGAAATAAACATAAAATCAAAGATCTTTAAATTTACTGCCATTTATGTTTTTCAAGATGTAATTTTTATGTTCATTATAACTTATCTATTGTCAAGCAGACCTACCGGAGAAATTTTATCAATAGTTACACTTCTTTAGTGTTTGTAAAAATTATGGAATAAAAAAGTATTCTTATTATTTCGAAACTTATAAACTGTATTAATCATTATTTTATGATACAAATCCAGCTCCTAAGGTAATCAAAAACAATAACAGAAAAGTGGAACAACATTTAACAATAGTACTTTTAGCACGCAGTCGATACAGGTTACGATAAAAAAAATCACTAATATTAATGTAATTATCTTGTTCAGTAAGCCTGAAATTTTATTACCAAATATACAAGGTTTAAGGAAAACCTCAATTAAGACAAATTATTTTACTGACATCTGGTAATCAACAAGTATTACTCTGAAGGCTGCAGAGCTATGCTCATTCCTAAGTTTCAATCACTTGTAATGCCAAAACATTTACAAATAGAGAAGTATAAACTGATCCAAAGTGATATAATAATTTACAGGGTTTTAGATTTCAGAGAAAAATTTTGATATTTTAACTAAGCTTAGCTTTAACAACAAACAGAGTAACAGAAACTCATAACTTCCTTTAATACTAGCCCACTAATTATAAACTTATCAGACACATAACACCACCTGGTCAATATATATTGACATAATATCTGTAATGATTTAAATTTATCTACCCCAATGTTACTTATATAATCAGCAAAGATCATGAATAACATAATTATCAGAGTCCTAAAAGGTGATAAGAACATAATGAAAAATAAAATCTGTATAGTAGTGATATTAGCGAGCTTATTAATGCACTTTGTAACAGAACTATTAGGTGTGTGGTAAGTCAGAAATCATAAGGAATGTCTATTATTAAGTCAATAAGATAGAATTAGAAGTGTTCTATGTATACATAACTGACTGTCTTAGCAAGTACTACATTTGTTGAAACTTAAAACAGTATAGAACGTTGAATAAGTTATATTGAAGCCTCACCACATCGATACAATCTATTCCTCATATCTTGACAATAGCCCTGCAGCATATTTCCTATTGCAAATGGTTCTGTCACAAGGCCATCATGTACAAAGCCAATCAATCCAATCTGAAGACTTTTTTATATTCCATCTAATTTATGAGGATGATGGTTTCCCAGCACCTGATTTAACAATAAGATCACACAGACATCCATTAGGGCTGTATCCAGCAACTTGACTGGTATGTCTTCTTATGGAATAAAATAACTTCCCACTTCACTTTCCAGCTGCTTGAGATATATGACAGTTGAACAGGTGATATGCTGGAAACTTTATCTCAGTGAACTTATACCCAGTTTGCCTCTTTTCCATATAAAGACAGTATTTCTGTGGTACAGAGGGTCCAAAGCATATGATAATGAGTTCACTTTGACCTATGTATCCACTCTCCTTATCCCTAACTTGTCACATGCGCAGTATCCAGCAACGATCATGAATCTCTTTGAAAAAGTTTCACTACATGTCGTGTACCACTTTTAGAAATGGAACGAGACTTGTTATAGTAATATCCAGGTACATATATGCTTCATCAAGTGTCACCACATATTTCTGTTTTTACCCAGCTAGGTACCGTTCATACAGTTAGCATTCCTTCTCTCAATACATCAAGGAAGCAGCTTGTGTACATGCGAATTGTATTGCATATTGGTGCCTTGGGAATGCTAGCAACTTTTGCCACTGACCATTCTGTTTGTTGGTTCTCACTTGTTATAAGGACTTGTTGCAGGTCTCTTTCTGGAAAGTGCTGGTGCTCCAAGTTGATCCATAATTTTTTTCAATGCCTTAAAGTACAAGAATATCCACATCTTAGAAATTCTAAATCTAAGAGTACAAGTATTTTGTGTCGGAGAAGGCTGTTAGATACCCTTTCCAAAAGTGATCAGTTTTTTTGGCAGCATCACACTATTTACAAATTGATAAACAATGTAAAACGTATTTCTGATACATTTCTCTTCACCAAGACTTTGTAGTGGTTGTTGTTGTTGTTGTCAAGTGACTTGCTGATCTACATATTCATAATCATTTTAATATCACAAACTCGAGCCTCTGTATTATTAATTAATTAATTTATTAAATATTGATATCTGACTTTGAACAGACAAAAGCATTAAATAATTCAATAAAAACTATAACTGTATGAAAAACAACAACACTATATTTCTACTCCAAAATACACACAATTCAGCTTATAATTTTATATGTATTAACGTTTCTAATAAATATCATGAAAAAGAAAATGAACAATCTATTGAACAGACACAAGATTAAGTATAGGTATCTTTCCATCAAGCCCCCCTCCCTCCCAACTCTTCCCAATGAATAGTCAGGTTTAGAATTTTAACATTCAAAGATGCAAAATCTATGTATTTTACTTAAGGCAAGTACATTGAGTTTATAATAATAGTGTACTTAAAGGTTAATTTCAATATTCCTTTCTAGGTCAACAGTTCACTAGGGTCACATTACGTTTGGGTGAATCAATTTAAAGTAAATGAAACATCTGTTTTCAAACATTCTACATGTGCTTTAAAACATATGTTTAGCATCTATGTATATATAAAAGCCACTCTCTGTTGGTAATGTTTAAATTGGCTCAGTGATTTGTCTTAAACAGAAGTATTGAGTTCAAATCCCAGTCAAGTAGGGATTTTTTACAACTTTGTTTAATCATTAACTCATCATATTTAGGAAAAAACAAAAATAACATGATAGTTTACATCATGGATATGAATTATTTGTTAATATTTGATTAGAACAGCTGGGTATCACAGTGCTTAGAGTGCTTGGCTATCACATGGAAGTCTTGCGTTCAAATCCAGATAGTCAGGATTTTGTTAACTTTTTTTATTATTATTATATTTATTTTTAATATATACAACAAACTCTTTGAATATACAGAAAAATATGAATACAATTATTGATTCGATCAGAGATAATATCATATTACATAATAAACACAAGTGACTGTGTGTCAAAAACAAGTTCAATACATTTTCAACCCAATAGATGGCGCCACAGTACATTAATATTATTGATGTTTTTCACCTTTGGTAAGAGATTTTTTTTAAATTTAGTTAAACCATTTATAAGCATTTTTTTAATGAAAAGTTATACCTTTATGCATTTTCCCTTCAACCTCAAATTCTCTGCCATCAAAATTCATAAATCTTATGTTCAGATACTTGACCATGTCGAAATATTTCTTCGACAACCAGTTTTGTTGCATCGTTCAATCTGCAAGGCTTCATCAAGAAGCAGATTTGAACATAATAAGGATATACAAAAGTCCAAATTCTAATCAAGGACCACTTACAGGAGATAACCAAATATACATAAAAAAAATTTCATGAGATACTAGAAAAAAAAAAGATAAACATTCTTTATACACACATTGTTACTGTAACATGATTAATTTTTAGATAATCGGAGTTTGCCCCTCGTACAGACCTACAAAAAACTTGTATTCAGTCTACACTAAATATATGTCGACTTTCTTAAGTTATGTCTGAGAATATAAGTTTGTCATTGATAGATGATCTGTTGTCAGTACTCGAGTTCGTGGGTGGGCAGGAGATATCATATTTAAAGTTAAATACATCAATAAATAATTGATATATATTAATAACCGATATAATGTTTTAACCGATGTAGATTTAATTTTCATAAGATAAATTAATCATAACTTACTGTCATATGACAAGCACTCAGCTAATTTATCATAAAACTTTTAAACTGTATTCTATGACAAAGACGTCTGAAGAAAGTTTGGCTTTAGACATTAGACAGATACCGAAAAGCAAAACACATTTGTTTCCATACCAATGATCCTGTTGAAAACTTGTAGTTTTAAACTAACTCAGCTTTCGTTGACCTTATTTGGTAGACAGTAAGAGGAAGTAATATAACGGAGCATTGAGTGGTGAAGACTAATTGTAACTATGACTCTCTTAAGGTAGCCAAATGCCTCGTCATCTAATTAGTGACGCGCATGAATGGATTAACTAGATTCCCATTGTCCCTATCTACTATCTAGCGAAAACCACAGCCAAGGGTTTATAGATAGTTTTATAAAATTTTTATATCAATATATTATTTGAGACTTTACAACCATTCCAGCTAGACCTAGTACTCTGGTTTTCTTTTCTTGCAGTGATTTTAATTGTGGTATAAAACATAGATGGATGCCCTTTTTCTAACACTCAGGTTTTCTTTAGAACTCTCAAGTATTGTTATAACTTTCCACACAATCTTGATGCTACCTGGTATCTACAACTGTTATGTGAGCTGAAGAAATGTACTTTAAACAAAAACTGCTTACAAATTTTTAGCTTCTGACGAAGCTATATACTCTTCAGTCCATCTAGTGTCAGTGATAATATCAGGGTTTAACATCTGTTGTTCTGGAAAAAATTCCTTGCTCCAGTCAGCCAATGGAGAGTCCTGGACAATGTCTTCGCTAGCAAGATACTCTTCAGCCCAATTTCTGCTGGTTGCCAAATCAGCTACTCCTGGCCCTACAAAACAGACACAGATTTACTACTCCAGACCCCAGGGATTTCTGGCATCAACAGAATTACAACCAGCCAAGATATGAATTACCTGGAAGAGGTGGCTGACAAGTCCGCTCAATCTCCCTCATTTCTTGCAGTAAGCTATCCATATTAAAAGTTTGAGGAGCGACATTATGATGAAGGTGGCGCTGTGTCTCTGACATGAATTCCTCAACCATCTGCATAAGTTGGATAAATATAAACCAAGTCAGTATTATTAGTTAGGATGCTATTTTACATTTTGAAGTGAGTAATATTTTATCAAGCTTATCACCTGATATTGTTATTTTTTTTCATATTTCAAATACATGATTATTTACCTCAAATATTAACTTCCAATCAGAGCAAGCTATGTACTTACAGCAAAACTAAAAATCAAACTAGCAATCAGTAATACCTAATTAAATATAGTTTTCTTAAATTCCTATTTATAAAGATTAGCATACATTAATAATGGTTGGAGACGGCTTGAATGGGTAATGAAGAAAAACTTTATATAAGTTTA